CATTGTAAAACTCGAGATATTCGACCGTATGACGACTCAGAAAAATCGTGTCTAGGCCTGGCAGACCAAAAATGCCTCAAAATGTACTATATAGGGGGGTGACTAGTCTACATGGGCTGGCCACGGGGGCGCCCCCTATATCCTCCGCCACCCCCACGCCCCAAGCAATATGCGCTGCACATGGGCATATGCTTGGGGTGTGGGGGTGGTGGATGGCGGACGACGGCGGTTGACGGAGGCGGTGCGGTGGCGAAACTTGCGGGTTCGAGGTATTTGTCGGTCGCGCCTTCGGGCGTGCAACATGATCCTTGTTGAGATGGGACTGTTGCGATGTTGCCTTCTAACTTGGGCTGCCTTCGGGATGGTGAATGGTCGGTACGACGACAAAGCGTGCAAGGTGGGGTGGAGTTGGGTGCCTTCGGGCGTCCAACATGAGCCTCGTCGAGCGTGCGGCGTTGTGGTGACGCTGTCGGGCCATCCTTGGGGCAGCCCTATGTTTTGAAGGCCTGTGGTGCCAGGACATGTTCGGCTGGTTGGAATCGGGTGCCNTGGAATCGGGTGCCTTTGGGCGTGCGACATGAGCCTCGTTGAGCGCGGAACGTTGCAATGTTGCCTTCTGACTGGGAAACTCTGGTGTGAGGACTGTGGATGGCTGCTGGTACGATGATGAAACATGCAAGGTGGGGTGGAGCTGGGTGCCTTCGGGCGTGCGGCATGAACCTCGTTGAGTGTGGGACGTCGTTGTGGCATGCCTCCNGTGCGGCGTTGTGGTGACGCCGTCGGGCCATCCTTGGGGCAGCCCTATGTTTTGAAGGCGTGTGGTGCCAGAACATGTTCGGCTGGTTGGAATCGGGTGCCTTTGGGCGTGCGACATGAGACTAGTCTAGCATGGAATGTGGCCTTCTAACTTGTGCTGCCTTCGGGATGGTGGATGGTCGGAACGACGACAAAGCGTGCAAGGTGGGGTGGAGTTGGGTGCCTTCAGGCGTCCAACATGAGCCTCGTCGAGCGTGCGGCGTTGTGGTGACGCCGTCGGGCCATCCTTGGGGCAGCCCTATGTTTTGAAGGCCTGTGGTGCCAGAACATGTTCGGCTAGTTGTAATCGGGTGCCTTTGGGCGTGCGACATGAGACTAGTTGGGCATCGAATGTGGCCTTCTAACTTGTGCTGCCTTCGGGATGGTGGATGGTCAGAGCGACGACAAAGCGTGCAAGGTGGGGTGGAGTTGGGTGCCTTCGGGCGTCCAACATGAGCCTCGTCGAGCGTGCGGCGTTGTGGTGACGCCGTCGGGCCATCCTTGGGGCAGCCCTATGTTTTGAAGGTTGCGTGTTGGCAGAACGTGCACGGTTGGGCGGTGTCAAGTGCCTTCGGGCGTGCGACGTGAGCCTCGCTTTGCACGGATGGTTGCGATGCTTCCTTCAAACTCGGGCCGTCTCTAGGATGGTTGATGGCCTGACCGCGCACGACGCTTTGGGCTTGGCTTCGAATGATGATTTTGAACCCCCGCTCGCGGTGGGTGTGAATAGTCGATCGTCGTCCAAGGTCGTTTTAGCGTACGGCGCATGAGTGGCGATTTGGTTGCTTGGGTCTGTAGGCTTGATGCTCGGGCGTCAAACTGTAGGCGACATCCCCTCCTCATTGGTGTGTCCCAAAGTATTTTGAGTGACCGTAGTCCGTTGGTTCTTGCACAGATTACCTCGTGCACCGGTAGGCATCGAGTCTTGTTAGTCCCTTTCTGTCAGCACCCTTGTCGGGTGCATGACGAACTTGGAAGCCCGCTTTGCATATCGCTTCAAACCTTTTGAATGGGTTGTTGCGAAATGTGTGTCGGTTGCTTGCACTCTCGGATGCCGTGCATCTGGCGGCAT